TTGCCGATGATACTAGATTAGGAGGAGCTGTGGACTCCCCTCAAGGGTAGAGAGGCCTTACAAAGACATCTGGATAGACTAGAGAGCTAGGCAATCACCAACCATATGAAATTTACCAAGCGCTCTATTCTGCACCTGGGATAGTGTAATCCTTGTTATACACACAAGCTATGGGACCAGAGGCTGGAGAGAAGCCTCACAGAAAGAGATCTGGGGGTTTGTGTCAATGCCAAGTTGAGTATGAGTCAACAGTGTGCCCCGGCAGCCAAAAGGGCCAACTGTGTCCTGGGTTGCATCAAGCACAGCATAGCTAACTAGTCCAGGGAGGTGACTGTCCCATTCTACACTCCACTGGTGTGGCCCCACCTTGAGTTCTGTGTGCAGTTTTGGGCATCTCAACATAAAAAGGACATCAGACTATTACGGTGTGTCCAGAGGAGGGTGACTGACATGATGAAAGGTCTCAAGGGCAAGAATTATGAGGAGTGGCTGAAGTGACTTGGCTTGTTCAGCTTAGAGAAGGCTGAGAGGTGACCTCATCACAGCCTACAAATTTCTCAAGAGGGGCAGTGGAGGGGAGGTGCTGATCTCCTCTCTCTGGTGACCAGTGATATGACATGAGGAAATGGAATGAAGCTGCATCAGGGGAAGTTCAGATTGGACATTAGGAAAAGGCTCTTCACTGAGAGTGTGGTTGGTCACTGGAACAGGCTCCCCAGGGAAGCGGTCAGGGCACCAAGCCTGTCCGATTTCAAGTAGCGTCTGAATGACGCCCTTAGTCATATGCTTTAGTTCTAAGTAGTCCTGTGAGGAGCAGGAGGTTGGACTCAATGATCCTTATGGGTCTCATCCAACTTGAGATAGTCTATGATTCTATGAATGCTATATCAATGTTGCAAGCGCTGAAAGAAAGTGTTCAAAACACTCAGCCATTCTGTTAAGACTTTATAATGTGGAATGCAACACACTGAGTATACAGAAACCTGTCACTTCTTATGTCCAGCATCACTGTATTTTACACCACTTACTTGGGACACAGTGAGCAGGCTATTTGCCTCCAGCATCAGAAACTAATAAATCACTTGTAGTCATGCTAAGCATGCCTACCATTGGCATTCAGGAGTAAAGCATTGTGGACAGTCCATGGAGGATGCAAGTGCTCAGGAAAAATTCTACGGAAAAACCCAGAGGAAAGTAGAAGCAAGCAGTAAAGGCAGCCAACTTATTTTAAAATAATATATAAATGCACATAATATAATCTTCATAATACATAAAAACTAAAAATTGTATTATGAAGGCACGATTCCTCTGCTCTGTGGCTGATCATTCCAGATGAAAACCAGTAATGAATCAACAAGTCTGAAAAATAATAATGTTTGTAGTACCCGTAAAAAAGGTAGTAGAATGAAATCTGCTATATATGTGATCTTGCCATGTGTGGGGCTACCTTATCCCTTTAACAAAAATGCAGATGTTAACTGCAGAGATGTAATAGGACAGGCCACTTGGGAAGAATACAAGGATGTGGTCAGAGCATGCAGGGATGCAACGAGGAAGGCTAAGGTCCACCTGGAATTGAATCTGGCAAGGGATGTCAAAGACAACAAGAAGGGTTTCTTCAAGCACATCAGCAGCAAACGTAAGACTAGGGATAATGTGGGGCCGCTGCTGAACGAGATGGGTTTCCTGGTGACAGAGGATGCAGAGAAGGCAGAGCTACTGAATGCCTTCTCTGTTTCAGTCTTCAGTGCCAAGGCCGGCCCTCCGGAATCCCAGGCCCTGGAGGTAAAAGAGGAAGCCTACAGAAAGGATGACCTTCCCTTGGTTGAGGAGGACTGTGTGAGGGATCACTTAAGCAATCTGGATGCCCACAAATCCATGGGTCCCGATGGAATGCACCCATGAGTGCTGAGGGAGCTGGCAGATGTCATTGCTGAGCCACTCTCCATCATCTTTGAAAGGTCCTGGAGGACAGGAGAGGTGCCCGAGGACTGGAGAAAGGCCAGTGTCACTCCAAACTTCAAAAAGGGCAAGAAGGAGGACCCAGGGAACTACAGGCTGGTCAGCCTCACCTCCATCCGGGAAAGGTGATGGAGCAGCTCATCCTGGAGGTCATCAACAAGCAAGTGGAGGAAAAGAAGGTTATCAGGAGTAGTCAGCATGGATTCACCAAGG